ACATTACCTCTTCTTGGACCTGAGCTTATCGTAGAACCCTTCTTCAAAGACGTTGATCAGCGCTAAATTCTCATCCTCATATCCTTTGTACGAGACCCGGCGAATGTTTTGAGAAACGTCCAGAACCGTGGTGGATCACGTCGTTGATTAAACTGCTGGGCTATTAGTTAGTGTGGTTTTTTGGTTTCTCTTATCTCTTCGATCGCCAATCCCAACTCACTGCTGTGCTCCAGGGTCGGCGGAATAGTAAAGTTTTGCCTGAGGAAGGGACTAAACAAATCATCCTTTGTCCTATTTCTTTGTGAGTCCTTTTTCCTCCATCCGTTCTCCTTCTGTTTTTGTATATTGTTCACGTGAAGGATTCCATTCTTGATTTCGAGGTAGAAGGCGAACCTTTCTTTGTGATCCACTCGCTTTCACCTTTCCGTTCACTATAACTATACACTTCTTTCACTTTGAGAGCGGATTTCACTATAGAGAGGCTGATCATTGGGTATTAAGTTAGAGATGGTCAGGGATGCACGAAAGGAGAAAAACTCGAGGACAATGAAAGAGGAAAAACCGAAAATGAGAAACTAAGAACCCGAGAAATGGGACCCCTTCCTTTGCCCGTTGATTTGCGCATTGATGCGACTCTCATCGGTGCTGCCCTCTTCAACGCTAACGCTCTCTCTGCTGAACGGCTAGAGACTCAGACACGACGCGGGGGGAGGGGCGCACCGGGCCAATAGCGCGCCGATTGGAACATATCCTTCGAATTGCGAATTGTGTGTCAGTCCGCACCCTTAGTAGGACCACCTGTCTCCCATCAGGGTGAATAACGGTCGAGGAATTCCTCGACCATGGCTCTCTACTGTGCGAGAGTAGTGCCGAGAGTGAACGCCGCGCGGAGAGCACAGACGGCTCGCGCATGGCGAGTGTGAATGTCCGCGCGGGAGCGTGACTGATCAGGCGAAAATCCTCGACGTGCCGTTGAGGAATCCTCGAGCGATATTCACCCTGTTTAGGGAAGTTTCCACTTTTTTGACCTTCATCATTGTCGTGGAATCCTCCTTTAAGTGCTAGAACTAACAACCCTCTTGTAGTAGCAAACTAGTCGCTCAAATAGTGGAACTCTCGGCCTTTGAACAGGGTGATTGTTCAGTTCCACAAAAACATCAAAGGCCTGAGAAATAAAATTCCACCTAACAAAACCACAGTAAGGCTCCAACAATTTGACACACCTTGCCAGCCACATGCCGAGGTTGTAAAGAAGCTTGAAAAACCGGATGAAGGTCCCGTTTTACTCTGAAGTTTCTGCACCTTAATAACAACCGCTTTTGCAAATTTGCTTATCTTTTTTTTGGCTATCCGGTTATTTCCACATTCCGCCAATTTTTCAATTTTGTGTGTTCTGTAATTTTGACTGCACTGCTTCCAAAGCCCGACCTCTCACGAGTTAAGCAGGTTGCGGTTTTACGCGCAACATCGGTATGCAGCAGACCAACTGGCTTAACTGACACTTTTCAAGTTTTTGTTCCTCTTCGGTCGAAGTTCAAAACCGCAGCCATTACCCCTCACTGTCATAAACTCTTCAGGCGTGGTAAACGCTCCCTTGCTGACATTCGTCAACCCTTAGCAATGTGATAGGAAACACCTGCTTCATTTCGTTCTCGAATTCTTTTCGCAATGCAGGGTTTTGGATTTCACCTTATGTGTTTTTCTTCTCACTGTGAGCACTCAACAAATGTCGGTCCTTGCGATTTTTTGACATTTCTCTCAGGAAGTCGCTTGTACCCGTAAGAGCTGTTTTTGAAGTGTTGCACGCCGTTGCTCCTTTTCCTGATTCGACGTAATGTTTCTCTTGGGAACCCCTAAGATGGTAGACTCATAACCATTCCCTTCCTAGCACGATTTGCGGCTTTTAAGACCCTTGCGTGCCCACACGGCCACAGTTCGCAAAATCACTAATTGTTTCGTTAGGTTCGCTACACAATAAAACATCTTTGAAGGAACATTAATGCTTAACGGACAAACCGTTGAACCATCATGAGTATGTAGTGGAGCAGCAGTAGACGCCCGCCGCGGAGCAATAACCATTGACTTCCTGGTAAAAATAGGGGCCTAAATTCTCCCAGGAAGTGAAGCTCTCGGTCTGTGTGAAGACAGATTAATTGTTCTCCGGAGTTTTCTGGTGGACCAAAGTTTTTGATGCCATACCCCGTTGGTCGCCTTGCGAATAGAGGCCAGGGCCCGAAGATGAGAGCGTTTACAGGGTCAGAATGTTTGTCGCATTCCTTTCAGGTTTCTTAACCCATAACGGACGGCCAGTGTATTTGTTGCGTGCGCCACCATGTGGCGCACGCCGCCACCCAGGGTAGGGTTTATGTAGGCTTATGTGAACAGCAGGGGTAAGACGGGGCTAAAGTAGGTGTCGGAGTCTCATCATCCGAAAAAAGAGATTTCCGTTGACGACAAGTTCGTAGCCCGCCTTTCCGCTCTAAAACTAGGGTGCAAAGAATGAATGGAAGCTGTAGGTGACATTATCGAAAAATGCGAAACAACAACCCCGAGCAAGGATGTGGCTATATTTAGGGGAAGGGGTCTCGGGACGTGCGAACCATGGGTAAGCCACCCATCAAATAGTAAATTAATGATAAAATGTATGTAAAATTTATTGTAGGTTTGTCAAAAATCCAGCCGTTCAGGTCCTGGGAAGATATGTTATTCCACATTGCTGAGAGTATATATGGGTATATTAAGATTGCTAGAACATTCCAAAACTAAAGAAGATAGTTTGTGGGCTGGCTCCACCCTTGTGGGCGCACGGCCCGTCGATGGTTCCTGGAATCATATAACACATCCACCTTCGAAATCCGGCCAAAACAATACGCGATCCCCCATAACCAAATACGGCGCGGTGAACCCGGGTTTGCAAGTCCAGAAATAAAGAGAGCCGGTGTCGAGGGTCTATTCCAATTAGGGGGCATCATGGTGCGGTTTTTCCAGAAAGCTACGGTAACTCTGAGCCAGGGGGAGTGTGTAGCCAGTCTAGGGGGTGGGGGTGGGCAGTCACTTGACATGCGTGAAAAGCTGGAATGTTCGAGTTTACATTAGTTCGCCGAGAAACTGCATCATGATGCCCCCTAACTGGAATAGACCCCCGGTAGGTTCAATGAAGGCTCGCCCTCGACCAAGTACGCATTCAACCACCTGTATGATCCGGCCTTGAGACGAACGCATGGCGCATACGATGGATTGGTTAATCACGTCATTCTTTCTAGAACACCTGTCCTTTTCGTCCTCAAACTCTTCCGACAAGACTTTCGATTTTTTGAACTCGTCATCCGATCGATTCACAGTTCTTGTCACTTTTCCGGCAGAATCCGTGAGAATCGGTCTTCCGCGGTTTTGTTGCCCACTCCTGCTCCTGTGTAGGCAGCACATTTCGCAGTAACTAAAGGCATAAGTAAACGTTACACTGTAACCATGTGATTGTTGAAGATCCGGCGTCGAATGTCGAGCTGAGAGGGTGTGATGCCGCCGAAGGCCGATCCGAAGAAGAAGCCCGTCGATCCGCGAAGCAAATCTGCCGACAGTCGATGGAATGCGGTCGGCAAAAACCTAACAAATGCCGTCTCGAAAAGTCTTCCCACTATGAATCGAAAGGTAATCGATAAATTTCTTAGTCTCATATTTCTTTCTAAAATATGTGAGACTGAGATTAATTAATCTTCATACATCAAAACCAGTTGCGAGTTAAAACAACGAGAAGTTCAGGGTGCAGTAAACGGGTCCGTTACAAAAGTTAATGCCACTACCGGTGAAAAGAAGAAGCGACGAAGAAAGAAGAAGCCTGAAGAGGTGGGCTGAACCACTCAAGTGATTGTGTTTGACCTTTTTGAACTATTGTCCATAATTACAGCAGCAGTTCGTGCAACCTGAACCACCAAAGCCAAAAATCGTCATTACCAAAGAGGACAAGCGCAACAAAACTCTCTGGAGGCACATCATTTGGCTGATTGTTCTGTTCGCCTATTCGCTTCTCGGCGGTCTCATCTTCAGCGCCATTGAAGGTACGGAGGAGGGCGCTATCGCAATATGCAGGGGCATTGTGGTACTGCATTTAGAACTCGTAAAACATTCCCTTCTTGTTAAAATGGCGGTAAACTTCAATTCGGGGTCACTCCATTGTGCTCTCCAATACTAAGGATAAGGATAAGAGTTTTCATGACACGTAATCGATTCATTTAAAATTACTTCTGATAAGGACCGGTGTAGTGTGGAAGTACTCCTGAGGTGCTTTCAGATTTCGGCCTGCTGTGGTCCAAGGAAATGGTCCTGAACTAGGGTATGGACATCCTTTCCTAGGCGCAAGGGTGTAGGAGCCAGGGTGGACGATCACATGCCATAAATTGCCTAGGATGTGAGCAGGAATATAGCGTGATGTGAGGCATACCCCCGTCCTCATCAAAGCACTCGAATGGAGGCGGCTGCGAAAATTCAGTCTGGGTGAGCAGACTCATTTCTCCAGTTCATGCCTCCTGGACTAGTTCCTTGAAGATGACCCTGTATGTTGCGATAGCGTCCGGACAAGTAAAGATAGCGTTGCCCGCCAGGTTCATTTTTCAGTTTTACCATTTCTTCACCTGTGTGGTATGAAGGTCGAGGCGGAGGGGTGAAGTGGTTATGTGGCACCCCTTTTCCCGTCCATTCCTGGTTTCTTGATGTTGTTTCTGTTCGGTGATTCATTGATGCTCCCAATGAACCAAAGTATTTGTAGGCGGCAACGACCGCTCCTATCTCGTCGTGGAGTATGAGAAGAACATGGACGTTTTCAAAAGACGTCGACTCTATCAAGAGCAGCTATTCAGAAGGTACGTTGCAGAGCAACTTTTTGAAGCACTGTGCAACGAAATGAGCAACGGTAAACACTTCGGTCGCAAAGCAGTCCAGGTGAAACCAAATGCCTGAACCAAATGGGTCCCGACTTCTCGTTTCATAGAGGCTTCCAAATCGACTGCAATTCTGTTCATTTTCTCCAGGCTGACTATGGATGCGACTATATAGGACGCGATGATCATTCTCACTGATTGCCTCCAATTTGGGCGCCCGTCCGCTCCTGCGGTGTTGAACTGATCCTTTGAGAGCGTTCCTCTCAAAATGCCTCTTGGAGAAGCCTGGTCACTGACGCTAGTCCTCAGCGACATCTGTGATGTTTTCAGATGACCGCGTTCACAGGAAGCCGCCGAAAAAAGGCGTTCGTTCCATCTTACGATTTTTCCCTTATCCTCAGTAGACGTCGAACAACTCCGGCATATCCTTCCTGTTGCCATTCGTCACGCCGGCAGGACCTATTGCATAGTAACTCCCGCCAGAGGTTCAGCTCGCGTAGTAAAGATGTGACGATAACGCCAGCCGCTGCTGATTACTTGGTTGAACTTGACGCTTCTAACGAGCAAAAAAAAAGTTGGCGCTGCCAGAAAGCGGAAAAATCGCTTATGAGTTTTTTGTGAACCACACCCACCCGCCCCCTTCCGGCCAGAGTGGGCAGATAATCTCGCGGTAGCAGCAAATTAGCTAATTATGGACGGCAGTATGAGTCGACGCTTAGAATTTTGGGAAGGTAAACAACAAAACCGATTATTGTTTCCCTGAAGAAAGGAATAGTGACTTAGGCGAACCACTCATGAGCGCTAATGGTTTTTGAAAGCATTACGCAGTGAGATGGAGCGGAGTTGCGGCATGCAAAAGGGAGAAATAGCAGTAGAGTAATCAATTAGAAAAAACATTGGACGCTCTAATTTTAATGTTCTCCCTGAGCCTCTACTTCGAGTAATGACACATCATTCATGGTCAAAAATAGGGGGATGCGTTCAGAAGTGTAGAATTTCGAGGACCGGTTTTCCCGGCCGGGTACTGCTGGACACTCGGCACCAAGGACTCATGCTTCCCACCGATCCATCTTGAGGGAGCGGCGCTTGCTGTTGAGTGCCGTCCTCCTACCTGAGCCTCCCTGCTGACGCTAGCCCTCAGCGCATTACGCTGCCTATCCTAGAATTTCTTGCTTTCTATGAATAGTAACTCTTCCCTATTCCTAAGCAGGTCATTAAACCCTAACTCCTGCGCGAGGCATTGCTCAGGGGGCGCACTCTCATGTTCATGGGTGTTAGTCAAAAAGTATCCTGATGGATCAGAGGGACAAGTAGAGGTGGCTCTTCATGCTCATAACATCCAAGGCCATTTATTGTGCTGGCATAACATAGCAAACGTAGCCAAGAAACTGCTTCGCGACCGCATGCTTCATACACACCTTGCTACGGCCATTTTGGTGGCCATGAAATAACCAATATTGTGATGCCTTACCCGAGTTTACTTTTCGTGCAGATTTCGAGACATAGACTCGGACAAATCAATTAGCAACAACCGTCGTGGTGCGACTCTTGAGAACTACAAGCTGCAGCTGGCGCGGCATGCACTCGCTTGGTGAGACAGTCGTCTTTGGTTTCCCATAACACACTTTTACTACGGAACTTTGACTCGTTGAAGGTATGAGCGCAAGCTTGGTGTTGTCGTCGAAGAACCGATGATGATGGAGAGTAAATGGACGCTATGGGGAGGCGTATACTATGCAGCTAGTCTCTACACTACAATAGGTGAGGTGCTTGTGATTGAAATGAAAAATTGAACAAGTTTATGCGACAAAATCGTACATATGAGCCTGGCCTTAACGGCACAGAACGTGATTGTGTTAATGTGGTAATTTTGCTCGTACTTGTATGAAACTGAGGATGCAGAATGGATTACTACTTGAGGAGGAAGGGGAGAAGAACGCCTCACCTGCAAATACAAGCTTCTTTTTTCGGTTACGCTGAGAGGAGTTATGAGGAAGAAGATAAATAGGCATAGCTCGATGGAAGAGCAGCGACCCCCAGTACACGCGTAACGCGTGGCGCGTGCAGTGATCCATGAGGCTGCATCATGAGTTACTGCATCGCATGTCTGAGCACGTGGCGCTCCGATTTAGATTGAGAAGACCCCACGACTACAATTGCATAATACTCTACTGTAAATACCCTCACTCACAGGGAGGTCTGTACCAATGAACTCATCGGTGGCCGTGAGATGGGCCTCAAGCCTTCAAACAAATGCCTTATAATAAGCCATCCTATTCTACCTACATATGAAATCCACTAGCCACTGGGAGTGGGATCGATTCTGTCTCTGGTGGAATCCGACCTCATTTCTCCCACCAGTTTCTTTCACTTCAGGTTTGAGAGGTATTCTCCCTTCACAGCAATGACCCTTCAACATCCAATGTGGTGAAGTGTACATGCACCAAGAAAAAGAGGCCTTTTCAGCTTCTTGCGCTTCCGTCACCTTTCCTCTTCACTCGTCCACTTTCTAATCACCTCTCTCAAGTAATTAAGTGAAAAAAAAACAATGCAAGTTACTATGAGGCATTGTTATTGACAGGAGCACATTCGCTGCTTTTACACTGCTCACCGTTCAGACTACTGCTAACAATAATTGCTTGATAGATCACGATATCACTCTAAAAGGTCGCACGATTGAATAGCGAAAGCCAGAGACGCAGGTGTCCAAGTTAGGCCGATGTCAGACTTTGCGAATCGCGCGATTCGCTACTAGCGATTCGCGCGATTCGCTAGCGTCCGCGGTCGCGTTGCGGTACCAGCCAATTGAGTGATTCACTGGCCGCGACGCGACCGCAGACGCTAGCGAATCGCGCGATTCGCAAAGTCTGACATCGGCCTTTAGTGTGGGGTCAGGGCCTGGCTGGAAACCGTCTTGAAAAAAAAAACCATTTTTGTTTTTGTAATATTAAAAATGTTCGACCATTTTTTCGATTAGTTCTCAATTTTCCAGGTTATGGTAACTTTTTCCCGCGCACGACGTCTGGTCGATAATGTCGATGCTGTACGCGTTTTTTGGCATTCCACTTGTGTTCACCATCCTTTGTGAATGGGGATTCCTCTATTTCACATGGATCGAATACGGTTGGAACTGGGTGAATGAGAAATTCTGTCAGAAGTACGTTTTCAATTCTCTTATATAGCCGAACTGTTCAATAGCTCCTATGTGTTTTCTAGTACTCTTAACTATTTTTCTTTAGAAGTCTTACAACGTCAAGTCGAAAAGCGGTATCTGAGAGAGAGGTGAGTTCGTGAGCAATTGCGAAAGTCTTTTCTGGGACAAGCTGAAGGGCTATTTCCTTGAGCCATTTTGCAGCCTTTTCCTCACTCTCTAACAAACCTGTGGATTCGCATGGCCAGCAAAGCAGTCCCATTCACTGATCCTCTTTTTCGATATCATTGATACTTCCAGAATTCGCCGTGTCGGCAGCGAACTGTCGCTGCACAGTATGTCCACCGTGCCACTGTTGAGCGTGCACCGAACAACCAGCAACATGGTCAATACCACAGATCATCAGGTCGGCATCAGTGACTTACGAACGCTAGTAACTCTCAGAAGCTTAGGATTTTTCAAACCTTGGAAAGAAAGCAGCTTCTTGAGTTACTCTTCCGTATTTCATTTAACCTTTGTTCTTTCCTGTTCTGTTTTTTTAGGTATAAAGATTGGTGAGATTTTGAAAAAAAATGCGTATGGATCAGAACTGAATGCGGAGGGGAAGTGACCTTGATTCCCACCTCAGTATACATGGTAAAAAAAATACTCCGAAATGTGGTTGTTTTCTGGAAGGATTCGTTTTCCTTGACTGATCCTCATCACTTTTACGTTCAAAAGATATTCTAGTCATAAATTTATTCGTAAGTGATGTTACTAAAAGAGCTAAAAATTGACGATATACTTGGGTGGTCAAAAAAGACACCATAAGTAAACTCTGAATCGCGCAGGTTGCCGCGGTCGCTGGAATTCTTTCGACAAAATGTTCCTTAAAGGCTCCTCCATGCGCAGATGCACACCCCACTGCTCGCATCGTCTTCAGAATATGACGTCATCTGTCATCACCGTCGAGCTCAAGGAGGCCTACCGTAATCGTTCCAGCCTGAAGCTGCTACATAATTTCTTCAATCGGTAACTGATGGATGCTTCTAGACACTAGCTCTGAATATGCAAAACCCCTTCCGACCAGCTTTCAGATAACGTCGTAATGGTCCACGATCCGTCGAGGACCTCGTTGAGCTCGAATCGTGCTCCATGTTCTGGTGGCGAATTCTTCTGATGTCGTCGATGCAGAATGACATTATGACTGTTCCTGATAGATTGGAATACGCTCTTTAATTTTAAGTTGAGAGCATTCGGTTTGCGTTCAGCAAGTTCATTGAATCTATTTGAACGTGAAGACAAAATTTATTTACTGTCCCCCACCCCCCTGTACACGAAATACAGCGATTCGCAATACGTTAAAAGTGTTTTCGTGCTGACACGGAAAATCCGGAAAGGATAAAATTGTGAGCACCTGTTATGATGATTTCAGATCGAATCGAACAAGCCGCTTGGTGAAACTCGACGTTGTGCTACCCGAAGAAGAACAGGCTGAAACGGTGCCCATGAAAGCTGCACTGATTTTCTTCTTTTTGTGGATAGCTCCTGTCAGCATTCATAGTCAGGTTCGTCTGGGATCCCATTTCATCGAGCCATTCAATTATATGCCTCATTGCAGATTATGGGAATACGAATGGTCCTATTTCAGTGCTTTCTACTTCTTTTCACTGTTCGCTTCCAGCATCACCATAGTTGAATTCCTAGCTATTTTCAAAAGTATTGTCTTTATGTAACATGTAAATGCAACTTATAGGACGCACGTAATCATGGATGCCAACGTAGCGCGCTCCATACACGCTTCAGTTGTCAGGCAAGGCCACAGCCTCTTTCAGACACGGGGAGGGCAGCTCACAATTTTCTCCTGTTTCTGCCGCGAAAAGCTGGAACAGCGGTCAAGCGCGGACTGGCTAACTGAGCTTCCGTGTCTAAAGAAAAGGAGAAACATTCTTTTTCGCGGCATTTGTTCAGAGAAAGTCGGGTGAAGCAACGGTGCGATCTGCTTGGGATTTAAAAGGTCTTAAGTGAGGACGCCCAATGTTCGTAAACGCGACGAAATAAAAAACAACTGTTAGGCGAGTAACAACATCCAATCAGGGCAATATCCAGCATATCAAGGTTTCGAAAAGACGAACATGGAATCTACTTTTAGCGCTAACGCCGTGAGGGGTGGGAGAGGTCGTAGAGCCGCTGCTACGTAGCCGTCGAACAAAGCGGGAGTTGCAGCTTGAGCTGATCAATGAAATGCGAGTTTCTAACAGCCCAGATCATCCTTTTTAGCATCTTTGCAATTTAGGCGGATCGAACAATACTATATTCCGACTTTAATAACCTCCAGAACAAAATCAATACGAGGATCGATCGAAGAGTGGGATACAGATTTGCATCCGGATACGAACAGTACTAGATCATATATCATCCTCAGATGGTCTTAGCGACATGCCTTGGACGCTTTCCTTTCGACAAAATAATTTCACGATGCATATATAGCCTTCAAACAAAATCAGTTCCTACAGTACAGGAAACTCAATTGTCTAAAGCGCTAAAGCAGTTGGTAGCAATAAACTGTATGCTGAAGATGGTCAAATATGAATACAGTAGAGGGATGCTAAGCTCGGAAATGTAGCGGAACCCTTTCTCTTTCGTAGACGGAGTGCGTGCCGCTAACAGTAGCAAATCCTCGTACATCCCACTGTGCGCCTCGTCCCTCTGCCCCTTTGGCTGCCTCAGTTGCAAGTCTCTCGCCATCTGACTCGAGCCGTTTTGGCAGGGACACGGCGTCCACGTTGATCGCCAGCACCGATTAGACCCGCCCCACACGGAAATCAACGGGGAATGTAATGGCCCCTCCGCGGGTTTTGGGCCAATTCTCAGTTTTTCCTTAAATGTTGCATCTGTTAGCAGCTCTGCTTTCATTTCTAGCAGGCGAGCAGTTTATCGTACTGTCTGCCTTTGAATCCTTGTTGTGCCCTTGTGCATTACGACTTCTTTGCAGGACTCGGTGATGTTGTCACGAAAACTCCGAACTTCATCATCTTCAATCTAGCACTGACTTTGGTTGGGCTATCAGTTGTGGGACTGTGCTTAGCAATTGTGCAGGTTCGAATCCCTTTTCTAGCAAAGGCTAACTCCGTGAGCGCTTTGCGAGATTCACATTTAAGGCGAAGGTTCGTCTGGTTTTTGATCGACTGATTCGCTCAATTGATTCGCAATATCGAATACGACAAATCGATCCGGATGTCGCCACAATGACATTGATTCCTGACGAGAAAGAAGGCATCAAGCGGTAAGTTAAAGCTACAGTCTCAGCAGGGTTTTACCTTCGACACTAATGGTGTGGAACGATGCGCTAGCCCTAGTCAAGAACATAAGAAGTGTGACTGAACAAAAAACTCACCTTGGAAAGCCGCTAGAAAGGGAGCTGAACGGCTTCGAAGTGGGCGTGGTTGGAATCGGCCGAGGACGACTGAGCAACCACGCCCACTTCGAAGCCGTTCAGCTCCCTTTCTAGCGGCTTTCCAAGGTGAGTTTTTTGTTCAGTCACACTTCTTATGTTCTTGACTAGGGCTAGCGCATCCCTCCATCCCATTGGTGTCAAAGGTAAAACCCTGTTGTGACTGTTACTTCAACCAATTACACGCCCAAATCAGTTCCCAATGTTCCCACTATTGAAAATCTAGTTTAGAGGAACGGTCGCAATTTTTCAGGCTTATTGGCGCTCAACCGCTTCAGGATCGAATCGTGTTCATTTTCATGGACGAACACAAAAAGTGCATGCTTAGAGAACGGTGGAAATTACGCAGTGGAATGGTTAATCGGTGAGTTCTCATCGGTCTAGGGTAAACCGTCGCGTTTACACTTTCCCAGAAATTTCGTCACGACCTCCTCCTCCTTCCCTTCCCTTCCACCCGACACTACCATCGTGGCTGTTCTATGTATAGTATTTGTTCCTGAAGACCAGTCGACACAGGACACACCTGTTCCGCCCACTTTTCTCTTTTGTTTTCCCTCCAAAACGGCCCTGGACCAAGGGGGGGGGATGTGACAAGGGGGGTTAAATTGGTATAAAAGAGCGGCAAAGCCACCAATTTTTTTTCAGTTTCACGCCTTACCTTTTTTGAAAATTTAAAGAGTGGCTCCCAAAGCCGTCGAAAACTCGTCAAAAACAACCATTTTTCCATACTGCAAAACCCGTCCGCACTTTTAACACAGACAGTTAACTTAGCTTCACCAAAGCCCCCCCCACTCCCCTACTCCAAGCAAATGCGACCCCCTCGTTAGAATAGCGCGAACGGACGGTTGATCCTGCTCCGGCCCCTTTCCATAAACACCAGTCAGCTTCTGTCTCATCTTAGTGCTCCGATTAGCGCTGAAAGTTTTTTGTACGTTTTGTTCTGTCTATTTGCGTCTAATGGAGGTTCTACCAGGCACTGCCAGCCACCGCCTCAATGTGACTCACATGGAAAAAGCCTCGCCATTTCTGACACAAAACAATGAGCAGAACTACTGAAATGGCCATTTCAGTGCTTCCGAAAGCCGCAATCACAGCCTTCACAATCCTTTTCAGCGCAGTGCTTACGATTAGTAGAGACAGGATTTATGATAAAAAAGCAACCCATTTCAAATTAAGGATAGTGAGTGTTACAAGAAAGATGGAAAAACCACCAGAATGTGTCCTCTTCAACACTACGCTCTCTCTGCTATCTAATCACTCGCCACGTATAGACCTGCGGCGAGAGATAGTCGGTGGGCGTACCCCGCCAACCGCGCCAAGAGTGAGCCATGCTAGATCGCCGAGGTCAAATCTTTCGCTGCCAATTGCGCGTCGGTCAGCACCCTCAGGAGGTCCGCCTGTCTCCCCACTATGCAATTTTCCCTTCTTCGACCTTCGTTCTTATCGTGGGATCCTCCTCTAACCATAAGGATTTTGAGAAGGATCAATCTTTCTTTGCTGAATAACCAATCAATTGAATACATACTTGATGGCAGTGATGAAGAGTTGCAGTAGAAACAAGGGCCGCAATAACCAGCACGATTGGTTGGTTCAATTCTACCCAAGCTGGCTGAGCCTTCTACTTATGATACTTTTCGAGAATCGGTAGGTCGGCCAACCAGCCATGAAACCTAAGACTTCAACCGCTGACGCGGACTTTCTAGTCACTGCAATTCTCTACAGGCTAAAGCATGCATGCATTTAAACAACCCCAGATAAGGTCGTGTCAAAGAAGCTATTCTGTGGGTGGGACAGAGTAGCCCATGAGTATCACAGATGTGCCGTTGTCGTGGCTCGAAAGTGCGCGACAATGGCGCTAGGGCCTTACAAAGTGATCTGATGGCGACTAATGTGAACTTATGGACGAGATACCTCGCGCACACCCCATGACACGCAACGTGGATTACGACGTAGCGGCTAATTCAAATACGCGCGGGTTAGTGGAGCCATGGAGCAAGCAAGTTCAGACAACTCGTCCGGACGCGCCCCTCCCTCATTTCAAGAGAGGGGCTTTGTAGATGGCTTCATTGGCGGTTTGTTTTGGTATTTTTTTCATTTTCAATCAGTTCGGCAATCACAGTTTCAACATCGACCGCTGTTACCCCTTCTCCCCCCCCCCCAATTTGATGAGGGGTTGTTGCTTTGAGCGAATTCTAAATGAAAATTAGTGGCGAATTGCGGCGTTTAGTGTACGCAGAACGCTCTAGCCCGTGTTCATTTTACAATTCCTGAGAATTCTATTTTCAGCATCACACAAACCTATCCGTCCAGAGCAGATAAATATGTGCAAACAGGAAATCGTGTCTACGACCAGCCAGGACAAATTGGTAGCGCAGAAGAGGAGGACGAAGAGGACTGGGATGAGGTGAGCCTTACAAATAGATGTTTCATATGGATGCGGTCATGAACAAAACTTCCGCCAAAAGCGGAAACCCGCATCTCTGGCCTACCGGGTAAGTTTCGCTACCGGGGCACGGTTTCGCCCGTACTCAGCTTTTCATGGTATATTTACCAAGCTTGCCAGCACCCACACGTCTTGATGAGCCGGTTAGCCTACATCGGCAGCTATGGTAAATAACCATAAAAAGCTGAGTTACCGCGAAATGGTGCTGCGGTAGCGTAACTGGTAGCGCACTTGCCCGGAAAGCGAGAGGTGCGGGTTCTAGTCCCGCCTGGGGCGAAAGTTTTGTTCACAACCCAGCATTCTTGTGAAACATTCGCAACGCGAACTGCGGCGTTAAAACAGCAGTTAAAACAAAACAAGTCAAGGCTTACAGATGGGTTTTACTTAAAGCAACAGTCCCAGCAGGGTGGGCGTGGTCGGAAACGGACTGCAATCCCCTCGGCCGATTCCCACTTCGGAGCTGTTCAGCCCCTAGTCAAGAACGTAGG